GGACCCATGATCAGAAGCCATTTAACTTAGACTGAGCCATACCTTTGGTTCTAGGTTCAACACGCTTGATCAATTAATTCCTCTATTGCACATTTTCAGGCGAAAATAAAATAATTCCTAATTGGGTGGTTCCACGAAGATCGTTTTTTATTGCCATTATTATATTATTTTCTGAATATTTTCAGACGCTGCTCAGCCAAAGCAAACTTCGCTTGCACCTCCAATTCTTTTTGCGATCTCTGTGAGCAAGAACTCTGCATCATGTGAGTCAACACAATCATGTGCAGAAACGGGAATTCCTGCTACCTCGTTTAATTTGCAGTCTCAACCCTCTGTTAGTTCTCATCAGGCAACTTCTACCTCGTTAGAACGACGACATAGCATTGAGTTAGGCTCATTGGCCTTGCCTCATCGATCCTTAGATGACACATTCTCGCCCTCCTTATCTTCGTCTTCGTCTTCTGAACCTCTAATCCAGCCCGAGGTCCAGATGATGACTGCACCACAGGAATCCTACTCAAATACTAGGTCGGCAAATTGTCACGGCCTTCTAATTTCTCCATCCGAACTAGAACATATTAACAAATACTGCAATCCTTTGACCAACTCTATTCCGCAAGTTCATGTCTTACCCTCCACTTTCCCGGTTACATTAACAAAGATACCCATCACTAATGCAGCAGCAGCAGAGACGACCAGGTCCAACGAATTAACTGCACCAGCTGTCAGTCCTGCGTCCGAGGGCCGAGCATATTCTGTGAGAAATTTAGAGCTTAGCAACATTTTTTTATCAGATCATTGTAGATTAAACGAGCTTTATTTGAATTTAATGTTTTTGCAACTAACTTTGAAGTAGACAATTATTAGTTAAATGGCAGTATTATCAAAATCCTACCAGAAACTGTGAGCATTTGTTTAGATGACTACCTATACGGGTATAAGAGTATGAGAGTCATGCTGTTTGCGGTGACATATAATTTTATATTTATATATAGATTTTATCGGACAACTGTGCATATGAAAATTATACTACGCAAGTTTTGTAGTAGCGGTGGTATCGATCTACCCATTGCCACTAGCCTTGTCAGCACCTAGGAGTTGGATTGTTATAAAGACGTGGAAGTTTCGACTGTTTGGGTATAAGAACTAGGATCATTCTCGGTTGTTTAAAATGAGTTAAGGACCGATAGTTGAATTGCTTCCTTTGTTTTT